AAAATTAAAAAGATTAACTGAAAAATAACAATTTTATTGAACAAAAAAACTAAATTTACAAAGAAATAACATACAAGCAACAACCAAACAAATAAAAATTGGAACATTAATAAAAGCTGAAAAATAAAAATTGAAAATTATTATTAACGAAAATTGAAAAATAAAAAATTAAAAGAAAGCAAACCAAGTTATGTCACGACGTTTCGATTGTTCGTATCCACAATCGTCTTCGGGTGATAACTGGACTTATTCCTCCGAGATCCGACTATTTATAGGTCGCTCGAGTACTTTCACCAATCCCCGGGAGTGGGAGATGACCGTTTAGCGGGAATTGGTCGTTTTTAGTTTACTGAGAAGGAGACGGCGAGCGAGAGTCAATACTTTTGTTCTGGTGGGGGAAAAGTGTTTTCTATATAAATGAAAGAATTGTTTTGCAGTTTGGTGTTGAAGAGTAGACTATTGTTACATTTCTCACCGGTCACATTTGTCACTACTACTAAAGATAATAACAGAGTATTATACTTTACCTGATTCACTGCTGGCTTTACACCATGGTCATTCGCCAATAATTCCTTTAATTGATCAAGGTTGAAGTTGGACACTCCAATATTTCTCGTTAAGCCGTTTCTTTTCCCTCTAACTAGCTGTTGCCAGACACTGGAACGCCATTTTTCCACTTCACTTTTCGATAAATTTTCTCTATCAGCTCCTGGCCAATGCATCAAATATAAATCGATGTATTCACAATCCAAATATTTCAAGGATTGTTCCAGTGCCTCGTATGCCTTTTCTGCCCCAGTACCGGGATCTACATAGGTACGGGTACAATGTCGAAATGAGTGAATAGAATATATACCTCTCAGTTGAATTTCACTAGTTCGGACTTCCATTGTCTACTATATAAAATGATTTGAAATCCCTGAAACAACTAAAAAAGAATAATTAAAAATGAATAGCTGAAAATAACAATTATATTAAGCAAAATAAACCTGAAATGAAATAATAGTGAAATAAACTACAAGTAAAAATATAACAATTGAATAAATAAAAA